TCCTTACAACTGAATTCTCCTTTACTGTGTTCATATACTGATTAGTGTTAAAAGTGCAAGTGGAAAGAAATTTACCATATGCAATCACTTTTCCAGGAAAATATCCTTGTCCTAATCCAGTAACTTATTTGTTCATCTCTACACATTCATTTTTCTTGCATAAATACAGCTTTTTAATGTTCAAACTCATCATAAGAATTGCTGTATTTCTGAGTCAGACCAATAGTCTGTCTAGCCCAGTGTCCTGATCTCCATCAGTGGCCAATACAGGTGCTTCAAAGGGAATGTACGGAACAGGTAATCATCAAGTGATACATTCATGGTTGCCCATCCCCAGCCTCTGGTAAACAGAGGCTAGGGATCTCGTCCTTTCTCATCCTTGTTAATAACCACTGATGCATAGGGTGACCTTACTTCCCTATGCCCAAGCCCTATATGGGACACCAAGGGGCGAGGGGCTGCCAGCGTTTGAGACTTTAGCCCAAAGAAGGGGTTGCTGGCACTCAGGGCTTCAGCCCCACAGTAGAGGGGGAGGAGGAAATGGGATATGCAGTGGGCGACCTTCAGTCCCGTGGCAAGAGCCACCCGGGAACATGGCTGAGCTCTGTGGCCAGGGCCACTCAGGAATGGGGCTCCAGCCCCAAAGCGAGGGCCACCCAGGAACGGGGCTGAGCTTCATGGCTGGAGCCACCCTGGAATTGGGCTTCAGCCACTCAGTGAAGGCTGCCCAGAACCGGGGCTGATTGCCACAGCGGAGAAAGGGCTTCCACCCAATGGTGGCTGGGGGCTGCTCAGGAACCAGGCTAAGCTCCATGGTGCCTGGGGACTGCTTGGGAATGGGGTTTCAGCTCTACGGTGGCAAAAGGCGTCAGCCCTGTGGGGAGGGCTGCCTGGAAACAGGGCTGCAGCCAGCAGTGGAGGCGCTCGAGAAAGAGGCATTAGCCCCAGCTGGGAGGGGCACCAGTGGCTGGGGCTTCAGCCCCATGTTCCTGAAAGGCCAGCAGACTTCCCTCCCTTCTTTAGGGTGCACAGAGAGTGAAGCTACTACCTGGTTTCTCCCTTGGCTCCCTGTCTTGAGTCCATACACCCATGCTGTTACCTGCTTTACTGCCAGCCACAAATAGGAGGCTACTGCAGCTGTGCCTGACCCAGGAACTCAAGGACCATCAGCGGCATTCAAATATGGGACACTTTGCCCCTTTTGAAAAAAATGTCGGGATGTCTGGGAGACAGCTTAAATACGAGTCAGTCCCAATAAAAACGGGACCGATGCTCACCCTATTTATGGATTTATCCTGATTTGAACCTTACTAGAGTCATCCTCTACCGCTCTGATGAGATTCCTTACCATGCACAGTAATGTGACATCACACTTAACCCAGAACTTTATGAAGCTAGGGACAGACATTTGGGGAGTTGAAAGGGGGAAAAAAGGTATTTTCCTCTTAGATAATGTGCTCATGTGTCTCATAGACTAGCTGTCATGAACATTCAGCTCACACCGGTAAATGTGCAGTGTTTTAACACTCAGGCCCAAACTACCTTTCAGATCTAAACTACTCAGTACAGTGAAACCTCAGAGTTACGGACACCAGAGTTACAAACTACACAATGAACCTTGCACATCATTTGGAACCAAAAATATGGAATCACGCAGGACCAAAAAAGCAATATAAGGAAACTGTATCCGTGTTTGCTTAATTTACATTAAGAGAATTAAAAGCAGCATTTTTCTTCTGCACACTAAAGTTTCAAAGCTGCATTAAGTCAGTGTTCAATTGTAAACTTTTGAAAGAACAACCATAGTATTCAGTTAAAACATTTCAGATTTATGAACAACTTGCATTTTCAAGCTATTTGTAACTCTATGTTCTACCTACCATCCTTTATAACAATAGCCATTAATATTAATGTCCACTATTTTCAAAGAAGTAATATCCTGGGAAATCTAGGTTTGGGAAGAATTTTTGGATGAATTTTTGTTGGATGAATAATGTAGTCTGTAACAAAAGCAGTTTCAATTGACCCAATATTAGTTATCAATGTGTCATGAAAAGTTTTGGTCATAAAACAGCTGGAAGAGATGATGGTAGCAATGTTTCTGTTGCTGCTGTCACTTGTCATTTTTAGGCCAATAGCTAGGGAGCTTACCTCGGAGGTGGGAGACCCAGGTTTGAATTCCTGCCCTGATGCAGACACAAAAAGAATTTTATTAATTCACCAAAAAGTTTTACATTTGGTTCAATCTGAACCAGTTTAATTTTTTTCCAGAACTGACACTAAACAGAAAAATTGTTTATATATACATCACATATACTCAGTCAAATTGCTTTGGAATTTGTCCCATCTCTTTTAGAAGAGTATGCCAAAAAAATAATTTCCTGAACTTGTGTTGAACTATTCTGGTATTTTACTAATGAGCAGACTAAATCAATAAATCAAATACAAATTCACAGAAAATGTTGATTTTTTTTTTTGAGAAATCAAATTCCAAAATTTTTCAGCTGAAACTGAAAATAATTGCAGCATGTGAGTTATAATTCTGATGTTCCCCACATGGGTGATATTCTTGGTTAGACTACATTTCCCATGAAGCATCATGATCTTTCCTCCTGGTGACAGAATGGAAGTGTATTGGGGAAATCTCCTGACTGCATGAATTATGGGAGATAAAGACTGGCTCGGGAGCCTGAAACATAAGTAAAATGAGGACACGAGGCAATCAAACTACATATCCCTTTAACTCCATGACAGCATATCTGAGTCAATATTTCAGCATTCTAATATTCTGGTGTTCTTTTTTGGCAAAAAATTCAAAGTTTTCCATAGAAAATAAATATTTTTCACAACAAATGTCGTTTGTCCAAATGCCAGTTGTTTGTTGAAAGATAGATCTGAGAGAAAATATTTAATCAGCCCTCCTGGTGAGGATAGGTATTTTTATGATTTAATATTGTATAATTGCAGTGTTGCAGTGAAACTTTAACACCACTTCATGCATTACATATTTGGAATCTGGCTATAGATTCTGGTTTGTTGGCAAGGCAATCTTCCTCCTTTGAGTCTGATTGAAAAGATGACCAGGTTCTGAGAAATGTTTTGATGCTGGTTACAAGTTAAAACCAGACAAATTCAAATTGAAAATGAGGCATAACAGTACGATTAACCATGTAACAAACTATCTAGAGAAGTGATAGATTCTCCATTTGTTGTTGTCTTCTTCAGTTCAAAATAGGATTCATCTGTTTTAGTCACTCACAAGTTGTTGAGTTCAATGTATGTATAACTGAGTGAAATTATTTGGTCAGTGTAATGTTGGAAGTGAGATGTGATGATCCAGTGGTTCCTTACATTCTGTAATCTCTATTAACACTATAGACCATTCATATTAGGCTACCAATGTGGCTTTTTACCTCTTAAATGAGCATTTTAAGGTAAAGGTCAGGAGGAGGTCACTTCTCCTATGCATGTCACCATCTTCTTGTATGTTGGTATGTGGCCCATTCTTCTCTGCTTTACCTTTTCCTCTCGTAATGGACACCCGCTGCATGATGGAATAAGGGCCACCTTTTCAGTCCTC